TCATGCCGACGCGTGATCGACAGTACATCCGGAAGAATATCGAAGTCCATCGCAAACTGAGTTTTGGTGGTAAGTAAGCGCCAGGTTGACGCTCGAGCTTGCTCTTGGCGTTTGACATTGGCGGTTCCAACGGAGAATCGTAGCTTGCGGGAGACGAAAGTTCCGAAGAGCCCAAAATGACACGCGGATGCCACCTTGGGATGAGACGATCGAAGAAAACGATGCCATTGCGAAGTTGGAACTCCTTGAGCGAAAGCTGCGAAGCTTTCGAAATCTCGCGGCTCGCGACGATAAACTACCTCGGTTGAGGCAGCTACATGAATGGAAGTGATGCAGCTCCGTAGCAGGTGACTCGTAGACATCTGCAGGCTCATGTGATGGACGCGAGACAGGAACATGACGTGATGAAAGTATCGCCTCCCGATGCCGGTGATGTCTCGTGATGTTGATGGTGTCAATGATGCGTAGTCATCGTGGCGATGATCGGCAGCTGCGGCGACGTAACTGCTGAAGCTGAAGATTTGTCGGCAGTTCTAAGGTGATGTTGAGATACCAACTGCCACAGCTGACATTAGGGTTGACGGCTGATAGAAAGGCGGCCAATCGGATGTAGAGAGGAGCACATCCGAATGCCATTTGGACAAAAGGGTTGGGCCCCACCAACGGTCTCTACTTATACTAACGGGGAATTCAAACACATATGATAAAGATTGACTTTGCACAGTTCAATGTGGCAGGATCAGCTACAAATCAGTTTTTTAACCTTTTTTCTGTTTTTTTTTTTTGTCGAAAGTGGATATGCTTGGAAAGGGATACATAGGTTGATTAAAAACGAGGAACGATGAAATATATTACTGAGTGGCGATGATACTTATGGAAATAAAAAAAAACAATGTGGCAAGTATGCCAAAAGGCTAAGAGAACATCTGCCTCATTGTGTTATCCAAACTCTGCACGATGTGCCGAGTTTGGATAGTAAATTCTTGCTATTTGAAAACATCGTGCTGAAATAATGCATATTTATCGATTTCCTATAATGATGAGGGGAAAAAGCCAAGTGATTGCATTACTATATTTTACTGCTTTTTCACAAATTGTGATACTAAAATTGTATCTCTTATAAAATCATCTAATTTCATTTGAAATTAAGTGCGACACATCTCTTACCTTCTCCTCAAGCTGATTATACACAAACTCTACCACCACATCGTCTTCCATTCCTAAAATCTGTGTGATCTTTGTTGTAATCCAAGGCTTAATCACATCAAGTTTCACTTTACTCATATCCACCTATGACAAATACGTATTAAGATTCACATTATTTTAATTTTAAATCAGAGATTAGTAGTTATATATATACAAACTCTTAATTTAATAACAATAATTATTAGAGTAATTTTATTTCTAATAAAATTACACTTAATATAAATTCGATATATTCTAAATATACTGATACTCAGAATTAAAAATAAATATTTTATTATTAATATTGATATTAATTAAAAAGATTTACATATTCAAAGATATCAATTAAAAATTCAAATATCATTTATATAAAGATATTAATTAAAGATTCAAATATTATTCCTATAAAAAAAACAGCAAAATGGAGTATTATAGTTATTCAAACTTTACTTCAGGTATTTAACAAACTTTATTTTCATAATATTTAACTTTTATGTTAATCATCTTGCTAAACATTCTCGCTAATGTAGATTGATGTCAATGCAACAGATATATTTATAAAATAAATAAATAAAGATTTTTAAAAAATATAAAATATTTATTACTTTTTGTGTTAATGAATCTCCAAATTTCATCTGCTTTAGAAGTTTTTTTTCCTTGTCGCTGAACCTGGTGTCCTGCGAAGCAGTCGTCCCCTGTAAAAAGACAAACATGAAAGATAAAATCGTATACAAAAAAATGTGCTTCTTGATATAGAAACTGGAAATAACAAATTATCAATCTCTACAAATATTTAACATTGCAGGATAATTAACAATTTTATCACTTTTTGGTAAAATGTAGAGAAGTCATATAATACAACTCCAACGTCATGATAGAAAAACCTTCCAATTTTCCTAATCCTTTAGAATTAGAAAATTTTTCAAGTTTTGGAGTTAAATAGGAATATCTTGCTAACCACGTTTCTTGAAGCCTACTTTGGAAGGATTACTTTGGATTGATTAAAAACAGCGAGGTAATCAATCTTAATCGCTAAATGAAAATTACGAAACATCTTTGGCATTTTCGCTGAAAGCGAGTTCGAAAATTAGGTCAGAAAATAACGCGTCGATGACGCGACCCCTTACTGTGTACATCATCTTGGCAACGTGCAGCAGGAATCCGGATCTCGGTGAAGCGAAGTGCGCTCAGTGAGACACCAGTTGACCGCTTGTCCTCTGTGATGAAAAACAAATGGATTAAATCACATCCATGATGACCATTGACGAATAACGATATTCAGGAGCGATACAACCGATTTTCCATGAACAATTACCTTGCTAAAAATTATACACGGACGCTAACTTGCCTCGATTTACTAATATGGCGGTCGTATCCAGTCTTACCGTTGGATCGCTCAGATCATGCAATAGTATTGCAATAGGAGCAGAGAGAAACAGAGAAATCATGCCAGTCTTTTCCCTGTTACCATCGAAGTCGCCCGTACACTATCGCCAGTATATCCATTTCCGATTCGGGAACTACGTGGCTACATCCATTTTCTGACCCTGTCGATAAAATTATAGCACAGAGAATTACAGGCGACCACCAAGGGCGGTAGTGTATGGACTTCGACGGTAACAAGAAAAAGATCGGCATGGCCTTTCTCTAGTTTCTTTCTGTTGCATGCTAAATCACGTATTAAATTGCTTTAAAAAATATAATATAAAACATAATTTGTGGATTATTTGACTATTTTGTTAAAAAATACATAAAAAAATATACATATTAAAGAGGTAAAGAATATCGCCTCAGTTTTTTTCCGAGTTGATCGTCATCTTCCATTCGCTGAAGAATTGGACGATGCCGTCAACATGTCGTTGAAGATGCGTAATGAACTTGGAAAGACTGAAATTTTTTTTTTGCGTTGCGCTTATATACTTCAATCGAAAGCTAACGCGATCCAATGAGCGCTCGAATACGTGCCGAATACGCGTTCGCTATGTTCATTGGCTGGCATGCGAGTGGTGGGGTTCGCGATCTAACGGCGCATATATAAATAGCGTGTAAATCGCACTCTCGCATTTTTGCGACTCGACCGGGCGAACAGGAGTACGTCCTGTAATATTACGTTGGAATAGTTCGCACCCCTGGCTTCGAATCAATTATGGACCTTTCCTCCAGAAATATCCCAATCCTTGTAGAGGATAAAACGACGGGAAACGGCTCGAAAGAATCATTCGAATTATACTAACGAGATAACTAACAAATATTATCAAATTATTAATATTTTCACAGGCGACGCGAGAAATATTTAAAAACCGCTCGCTTTTAAGCTGTTTTAAGCCGCTTCGATAGCTACATGCTCGTCAGTCGTCCGTCGATCCCATCTCCACCGCGATTTCATTAAGAATGGCGATGCGGCGTCGTTTTTCGCGCGCGGCCAACTTCATGCATCATCAAAATTAACGCGGCGTATTACTTTTAATTCGACTGAACAAATATTGAGAAAAATACTTTTAACGTATTTAATTGATAAAAAAAAGTTATATTATTATTGTACTTTCTTCACTTGCAATATTCAACTGACGGGAAACATCAATTTGGCACTCATATATAAGTCGTCGTCGCTCCGCGTCACTTTTGGCGCGTGAAGTTGTTCGCGGTCCGCATTGAAAACAAAGCTTTCTCGTTATCCTAACGCGTTCACGTTTCATTTGCAGGACGCCACAGCTCGGAACAGATTGGCTTCGGATGAGGTGGTGTCGTTACTGATTTGATAGGTAAGTGAAACTCGCATTTATTTAGTAACTTTTTTATTCTTTTACTGAAATATTACATAATAGATTCCGATAATCTATGCGATGCGCTGAAATATTGCATAATAGATTTCGATAATCTATGCGATAATTCGATCGAACGCGCATTTTTTCGTAGTACTTGTTGGATTGAAAACCAAAACATGTAGCATCGCCACGGCGTTACCGCTGCATCATCGAATCGCTTTTGACATGAAATTAATCGCGTAGAGAACGAGGCTCTTTATCATCTTATAATTAAATGCAATTCAATGCGTTTTATAAAATATCGCGGATATCAAACATGTCATAATTTCGTATGCTCTGTGATTTTTCTACTATCGTATAAATATGATTAAATACGCGTTAAGTGTGATTAATATCGAGACTGTTGAATAAAGTATGATAACGACGCGCAATTGTTATTTTAGTAAATTGTATTCACAGTTAATTGTAATTAATAATTTATTTGTTATCTTCTATTTAACGCGTTAAGT